CAGTGCCGGATTAATGTAATGGCAGATGCGGCATATGCCACAGGCCCCGCGCTTTTGGGGGCCCCGCGCTTTGGGGCAACAAGGATAGGAAATTAACCGATCGTAATGCTCAATAGGCTGCAAATTGGGAAAATATATTATACTTGGCAACTCTAGTTACGCTATGCTGTTATTATAGAGAACCACATACAGGAAAGCGCGAGATAGATAGAGCATACCACAATCCAAAAACCTAGAGATGCTAGAACCGGAGATCTGTTAAAAAAAGAAAGATCAACTTTGCAACTGTCGTATCTCTGCTTTTAGGATCTCCAGCACAACCCTCCTTCCCCAGTACTACAACTGGCTTGGGTTGGTTGCACGATAAGACTATGGTTGCACGGAATGTGGTGGGTAGAGCTGAGCGTAGAACACTATGAGTTGATTGAGCCACAAAGCACTAGACACGCTGTTCTGTGCTGTGGGCTAGTTATTTAAAAGCAAAATCTATAGCTGAAACCAATGGTCCAACCATAGAGAAATCCCGTATACCATGAGGATCGTGAAGTATATAGACTACTAAATAACAAGGTAATCCCCGTGTTTAAGGTTCTGGCCTGACATGCATGACCAGCCATTGCCTTGTTTTTTAGTTTTTACTGCAGCTAGGGCTGGTACGATTCACAAATTTTATGAATCGTCAATTCACAATTTTTTTCGCTATCTTAAAAAAGAATCGCGATTCAATGAATCGATTCATTTTGCGAAAAAAATGTTATTATTTTTTAAAAATGTGCGTCAAAATTTTTTTTTCTGCAGGTCAGAAAGTGACGTTTTTTAGAAAGACCTACCTGAAATTTTTTTTCGCTTAATAGGGAAAATAAAATGAATCAGGTAATAAAACAATCGATTCTTTTACAAAATGACTCGATTCTTTTCGCCATAGCCCAAAAAGGCAAAAAGAATCGATTTACAATTCATTGAATCATGAATCATACCAGCCCTAACTGCAGCAGCGTGTTTTCTTCTAAAAGTGGTTCGGGACTGGGTGTCGATAACGGTGCTGCAGGATGCTGAAAGTGATAGTGCTTTTGAATCAAGCATGACTGTCTTGTCTCTGATACAATAACAGCAACAGGGACAGAGTCACATGAATCCACTTCCACGTCTGCCATGGATCCTGCTGGCATCTTTTGAGGAAGGTAAAAATGAACAACTATTAACTTTGTCTTCCTCGTATATTGAGCTATGAATCAGTTCTTTGGGTAGGTGTTTGTAATGTTGGGAGGGGGAGGGGGCCCCGCGAAAAAAATATGCCACGGGCCCCGCGCATTGCTAATCCGGCCCTG